CGAGCCAGGCCTGGCCACTGCACCTCACCAGCGTCTCACCAATGGCTCTAACAGTGCTGCAGAATTTAACCTTCAATTTGGGGACAAATCTGGTTCTGGCTCCCCCTGTCTGCAAAGAAAACTTCAAAGTGTGACCGTGCTGTAGCGTGGTCTGAATGAGTCTGCAGACAGAGAGAACCCTCGGGTCCCACTCTGATCTCACACACTCCAGGAATATTTCTGATCAGCTGTGAGTGAGAACAGAATCAGGCCCAGTAGCTGTAAAGGAGGTGTGACCTGCTCCTATTGCCTCAGGGTGTTAACTCTGAAACCTAATGCTTACAGGCCACTGCTCATCAGTTTATGACAATGCACTCAGCTGCTCAGATTCTGGGATTGTGATGCTGGGTGGAATTTGAGTACAATGCCGCACTTCTCCCCAAGCTCATAGCTGACCCCGGTCACGAATAAACAGACAAAGTGACTGCCAATGCTCCTCAATCCTGAACTACAGCACCCACAGCTCTTCCACTCCTGGAATCCTCCGCACTGCACTGCCAATACCCCGCACTCCCAACTCACAACACCCTGGTCCCAGCCATCTTCCACTGCACCAGCAGGGCCCAGTGATCAGGTTCTGTGAGCAGTTTTGTTCAGCTCCACTACAACACTTGAAACATTTCCTGCATGATGTGGCAATGCTAGTTGGTCTTCCAGCACACCATCACCTGCACCCCGATACAGTGACACCATCCCCTGTACCCCAATACAACGCTATCCCCTACACCCCAGTACAATGACACCATTCCCTACATCATAATACATCATCCCCTACATCCCAATACAACACCCCAATGCAATCACACCATCCCCTACACCCCGATACAACACCGTCCCCTACACCCCCCAGTGCAATCACAACATCCCCTACACCCCAACACAATGACACCATCCCCTACACCCTGATACAATGACACCATCCACTACACCCCAATGGAATCTCACCAATCTATATCCCTACAATCCAACTGTGCTAAAGACCTACTCACCTCTGGCCCAGTCTCGCTTGTGGGGATCTGTCCAGCCTTGCCAGCTCCACACAGGCCTGTCCTGCTTGCTGTGATTCACACCCAGGGAGGGACGTGGCCCTGGGAGCCGGCTGCTTTCCAGGCCCTTCATCCCAATGTGACAAGAATCCTAAAGGGGCTGGGTGAATAAATGGGGCTTGGAAGCTAATCCTGCCCAGTCCTACCTGTCTAGCTGGAACAGGACAGAGATACACCCGCCATTCTCTACAGCCCCACCTCACTCACACCCCAACAGACCACACACACCCCCGGCCCCACACAGGCCCAGCCCTGGGAGATGGGGTGGGGTTCTGGACATGTGGGCGGTGGACAGCTGCTGCAGTAGGGGATCCCCCACTCCAGCCCCCAGAGTGAAGTCTGGGGCCTAGTCACTTCACCTGGGGTCTTCCCCTCGGACGGGTGCCCGGTGGTGCGGTGGTTGACAGCCAGGATGCGGAAGGCGTACACCACCGCCGGGTCCAGGCCGCCCACCCTGTGGTCTCGGATGTCAGGTTCTATGTCACTGGCCACCGTCTCCCAGGCCCGGGCTGCCGACCGGGATGGGCCCAGCGAGGATTTCTTTGCTTCTTGCCTTTGGACGACGAAGCCGGTCAGGTTCCCCGAGCCCTGCGTCACCCACTCCAGCTGCACCTCAGTGCGCTGCCGGGTGTACATCAGCTTGCTGATCGTCACGTTGGGGGGCGTCGGGTACTCTGCAGGGGGTAGGGAGCGTGTCAGTGGTGCACCCAGAGAGAAAACCTCACACACACCCAACCCCATGCTGCTCACACACACACACACACACACGCACGCACCCAGAGACAACCTCACCCCCCGACCCCATGCTGCTCACACACACGCACACACACACGCACCCAGAGAGACAACCTCACACACATCCAGCCCCATGCTGCTCACACACATACACACACACGCACGCAAGAAACAACCTCACACACACCCGACCCCACTGCTACACACACACACACACACATCCCCTGTATGCCTCACAGACACCGGACACCTGCACATCACACACACGCACAAAAACACCTCATCTTTCACACACGTTCTCACGCACACGCTCCTTCCCTTCCTCTCTCGCTGCATTCAGGGTTTAACTGGCCAGTCAGGTAATAAAGGGCTGCACCTGCCTCCCCCACCTGGAGTGAAACCAGCCTCAGCCCAGTCCCTGGAGCCTGGGGTTTGCCAGAGTCCCACATGACCTCACTCAGTGTCATAGAAACCAAGGGGGTGAATGAAACAGGAACCCCTGGGAGTTCACCCCATGGTCTCTGGGGAGCCCAGGGCTGCACAACGTGTTTGTCCAACCTTCTGAAGTCAATAGGATGAAATTCAATAAGGACAAATGCAAAGTACTGCACTTAGGAAGGCACAATCAGTTGCACACGTACAAAATGGGAAATGACTGCCTAGGAAGGAGTACTGCCGAAAGGGATCTGGGGGTCAGAGTGGACCACAACCTAAATATGAGGGAGGAGGGATAGCTCAGTGGTTTGAGCATTGGCCTGGTAAACCCAGGGTTGTAAGATTCAATCCTTGAGAGGACCATTTAGGGATCTGGGGCAAAAATTGGGGAGTAGTCCTGCTTTGAGCAGGGGGTTGGACTAGATGACCTCCTGAGGTCCCTTCTAACCCTGATGTTCTATGAGTCAACAGTGTAATGCAGTTGCAAAAAAAGCAATCTTCATTCTGGGATGTATTAGCAGGAGTGTTGTAAGCAAGGCATGAGAAGTCATTCTTCCGCTGTACTCCACGCTGATTAGGTCTCAGCTGGAGTCTTGTGTCCAGTTCTGGGCACCACATTTCAGGAAAGATGTGGACACATTGGAGAAAGTCCAGAGAAGAGCAACAAAAATGATTAAAGGTCTAGAAAACATGACGCATGAGGAAAGATTGAAAGAAGTGGGTTTGTTTAGTCTGGAGAGGAGATGAGACATGATACTAGTTTTCAAGTATGTAAAAGGTTGTTACAAGGAGGAGAGAGAAAAATTGTTCTCCTTAACCTCTGAGGATAGGACATGAAGCAATGGGCTTAAATTGCAGCAAGGGCGGTTTAGGTTGGACATTAGGAAAAATTTCCTGTCAGGGTAGCTAAGCCCTGGAATAAATTGCCCAGGGAGGTTGTGGACTCTCCATCGTTGGGGTTTTTTAAGAACAGGTTGGACAAACTCCTGTCAGGGATGGTCTAGATAATACGTAGTCCTGCCTCAGTGCAGGGGCTGGTCTGGATGACCTCTCGAGCTCCCTCCCATCCCACCATTGCTATGCTTCTACCAATCTGCATTCAGAACATGCCCATGACTAAACCTCCTGCCCACACCTTCCCCAGCACACCCTTACCCTCATCTCCACCCCGGCCCGGACCCTTCCACTACTTCCCTTCCTTCCACACACCATGTGGGCCCCCACCAAACTCCCTACCCACTTCCCCTCTCCTCCCCCCCACTCCCGGTGTACCCCATCAGACCCCCTCCATCCATTTCCTCTCCCCCATACCTTGCTATGGGGCCCCCAGCCCTTGCTATGGGGCCCCCAGACCTCCCCATCCACTTCTCCTTGCGCCTCCCTATCCCATGGCCCCCCCAGACCCTCCCATCCACTTCTTCCCAGCACACTCCTACCCGCTTCCTTCTAAACTCTGCCAAGACCCCATTTGTCCCCCCCACCCCGCACCACCCCTGTATGGTTCCCATGAGCACCCGCCCTGCCCCGCCGTACTCTTCACGCGGAGCCTGATGGGGACGGTGGTGTTGCCCACGGCGTTCACGGCCGCGCAGTGGTAGGTGCCGCTGTCCCTCATCCACTCGGTGTCCCGGATGGTCAGGTTGAACCAGGCATCGCCCTGCTGCAGCCTGTACCTCGCAGCGTCCGGCCGGATCACCTGGTGCTTGTTGTTGAACCAGAACACTTCAGAGCCCAGGTGGGGGCCCTGCAGCGCGCAGGCCAGCTGGACCTCGCCGCCCTCGAACAGCGACACCTCGGTGCGCTCGGCCGCCAGCTTGGGAACATCTGTCCAGAGAGAGAGACACGGGGGATATTGCAGTGAGAGCAGTGCCCAGGGCAGGGCACCTCACTCTCAACAGAGCAGGAGCCTGTCCCGGGAGCCCTGTGGGGAGCCCGGGGAGGGGAGCCGGGGTCTGTCCTGCGAGCCCTGTGGGGAGCCCGGGGAGGGGAGCCGGGGTCTGTCCCGGGAGCCCTGTGGGGAGCCCGGGGAGGGGAGCCGGGGTCTGTCCCGGGAGCCCTGCGGGAAGCCCGGGGAGGAGAGCCGGGGAGGGGAGCTGAGGTCTGTCTCGGGAGCCCTGTGGAGAGCCTGGGGAGGAGAGCCGGGGTCTGTCTCGGGAGCCCTGCGGGGAGCCCGGGGAAGGGAGCCGGGGTCTGTCCTGGGAGCCCTGTGGGGATCCCAGGGAGGGGAGCCGAGGTCTGTCCTGGGAGCCCTGTGGGGAGCCC